AAGATTATGCCAAAATTTCATGTTTTCCGTCCCGTTTTTGCTCATATCTCGGAGGCAAAATGAGCAAGAACGCTCATTGGTACATCATTCTAGAGATAAATAAATGGCCTTTTTAGAAAGTGAAAGAAGAGGCTTGAATTGTTGGGAGCGCAATTGAAAAACTAACCCCCAATACGCGGTAGCGCGCACACTTTTGTTGATGCGCGTTTCAATGAATCTCGTGGGTCTTCAAAATGTCTTTACTGTCAATACTTCTGTCTAAATAATCACTTTCGTAAAACCCCAATCACGCTTTCTGGTCTAGTCACTCTAGTAGTAGTACTTGCAGGCGCCGCCCTCCCGCAGCATTTTCCTCAAAGTGAAAGTCATGTCGTCAAAGTACCGGGAGGGGGTGTGACTGGACATAACCTCGAAACAAGCGTCCAGCGCCTGCTCCATCACGGCATAGTCCAGGAAGGCCTTCAGTGTCCGCAGCTGTCGGTTAGACGGCGCTTTGTTGCGCTGCTCTGAAGCCAAAGTTTGATTAAAGCGACCAGCAATTCAACGGAAAAGTGGTTGCGCTGGTGCCCACCTAGAACAGCGACTGTCAGCACTTGGGCGCAGTCAGCCATGTGACAGTCGGCTTGCAGCTCGAAGCCGCGCCCCTCAAAAATCGTGCCCAAACCGTCTTGGTAGAAGTTGAAAGGCAACCGCTCAAACTCCTTGTGCTGGAGGCACTGTTGAGGTTTGGTGCAGTTGGTAATCACCTTGACCAGCAGCACCGTGGGAAGGGGATGACGGAGGGGCGGCACCTGCTGCAGGAAGGCCGTGTCTTTGATGCCCCACCCCTCGCGGGACACCAGGTCGAAGTCCTCTATTGCAGCCGCCTGACCTGCAAGGGGGCACATGAGGATCACCTGCGGCGTTCTGAGCGCTTCCGGCTTACACTGAGCGAACAGAAGGTAGATGCCGAAGGCAGTCCCACAGAGGAAAAGGGCGGCCAAAGCGGCCACCAGCACCTTGTCAAAGCAGGAGGTGTTCCACGGGGAGTGCATGTGGCTGATGATCAAAGGAGTCGATTCGTCGCCAAACTGGCTCGCGTTTCTGATCGTCGCCATCGGGAAAACGGAAAACGATCGCGAGGTTTCTCGAAGGACAAAGAAGCAGTTCCGAAGCCAACTTGATACTGACCCGGACAGGTTTTATCGCGTTTTTGGAATTCGCTGCGATAAACCAATCGGAGCGTAAACATGCCCCATCGAATCAAACAATCGAGAATGTAGGCAATTGTAGATTTATTCGGCGCTCGCACCTACCTACTAAGACTATGAACAACTAAAATTACTTACACTATATGTATGTGTTATACCACGCTTAGGGGCTAAAGGTGATGATGGGAGCGGTACTGCGCTAAGTCTAAGAATATGTACAAAGGCAAGAATAGACTGGGGGCTTCTCAGCTACAGAGTTCAGTCTAGTTCGAGCTTCCGGAAGCTGCCGCTCAGCGTGTTGAGGGCATTGCGGGCGGCATTTCGCGAACAGATAATGCCCCGATCGCTGAGCAGCTCTATCTGGTCGATGGTCAGCAGGCGTTTCCTCATCTTCTCCAACTCCGTCTGCCAGGAGGCCACCATCTGCTCCCGGGAGATTTCTCCGCCCATTTCCTTAGGCAGGCATCGCTTGTCCACCTTGTCGAACAGACTCTCCATCGAATCGTGCACCTTCAAGGAAACATTTTTAGCCACATTTCTGCAAAGTGCGGTCGCAAATGATTTGCCAATGAAGCGTCCAAAACTCATTTTTTCGGCTTTTCCGCGTCGTGGCAGTGGAATAATTTTTCGAAAAATATTAAAGAGGCCGCAACTGAACAGTTGACTGGACTCAAAGTAACGGTTAGCTAGTAACAAGCACGCACACAAATACAGTCTTCTGTTGTCCATGAAATTAGAAAAATGATCGTCGTTTTGTGCAACGGTGGCGCAAGATTATTGCAAAATTTCATGTTTTCCGTCCCGTTTTGCATGTTTCTCGGAAGCAAAATGAGCAAGAACGCTCGTTTTTACATCCTTCCAGAGATAACTAAATGGCCTTTATTCGAAGTTTCTCATGAACCATTCGAGCCACAGAATTCGTTTTGGCATCGTTGAATAGAGAATTGAAAAGTCCATTCAGTCGTAACAACGTGAGTGAGGAAATTCGAGTAGTTTTGACCCAGAAAGTGAAATTTGAATATCAGACTCTTTGGTGCAAGATTATGCAAGATCTTTGGCATTGTTGGATAGAGAATTGAATGGGGAGGGTCATGACCCCCATGACCCCCCTCTTGATTCACGCAAAGCTGTCAATCACAAAACCTCTCTAATCTACTAGAAATTGATGAAAAAACTCACCATAAATCGCTGTTTCAGCTTCTGGCTCATGTTGGACTTGGCGAAATCGTAGACGTAGCGCAACGCTTGCGGCATATTGAGACAGTGGATTTCCTTGTGCCTCATCGGGAACGATTGCTGGAAAATTCATATTTAAACCTCATTGGCTTTCAGCCTGCAAACAAGCCGACCACACAACCAATCGCCTAATTAATCGCACTTTTAATGAGCGCTCCAACTTGGGATTACAGTCCCCCCTTTTATATCACATTGAATCAATCAATTTTGTTATTTGTTTGGGTAATTCGGTTATATCAACTGATATTGAACCCGAGTGTTTCGTGATCATTTCATGTTTGTGTTTCTAATTGCGGCTGCGAAATGTTAAACATTGTGTGTGTGTTGGAGATTGAACAAGGACGTGCATGATGGCGTGTTATTGAGGACATTGCCATCGGCTTTATTTGGCGAAAAACTACGTACTTCTCCCCATTTGATCAAGTAGCCGAAATCGGTAACGGAAAAGAGGGTGAGAAATGAGGCGTTCACTCCCGCGATGTTGGCCACATGGGAGACGCCCAGAATCTGATTTTCCTCCTCAGACAGCAAGGTCTCGTAGGTGACGACATGGGCGCGCGCCATGTCAGTGCCCGAGTGCCTCTTGGGGTTGAATTTGCCTAGAAAAATCACCCACCGTTGAGCCTGAGCCTGCAGAACTTCCCAGCTACTCACTCAAATCGTAGATCACCACGCGTCTTCCGTTGGTGTCCCGCAGCGGGCTGACAAAGATGTACCTGCAAATCACGCGCGCTGTAGTGGTAGCAGCTAAAAGGGCGGAAATGCAGCAAAAACCCACCCGCTGGAAATCAACTGATTGACGCTGGCATCGCTATAATCCATGTCGAGGAAGATTTGAGGGAAGCGCTTTCGATAGTTGAGGTACTTGAGCAAGGTTTGCTGCGCCATCGGGATGCTGAACTTCTTCACTCGCAGGAAACGCAGCAGAAAATTGTCATCTGATTCAAGACGGAGGGATGTTTAAGAACGTGTTGCGAGCATGTGAGGATCCAACGTCCCAACTATAGCGGCGCTACCGGTTTGCTATAGTTGGGGCAATAGATTTAAGCGACCGCTGCTAACAGCCAATTTACTGTTTCTTTCGGTTTCGTTCACTTAAAAAGAGTTTAGAGGCTGTTTTCAGCTTCGAATTTGGTCCCAAAATTCTCCAAAAATGACAACGAAAAAATCATTTGAAAAACTGTGGTTTTTTAGTTTCCATGCTTTACTTTCCACTCAAAAACGCTCTATTTTGAAGAGTTTTACTCAAAAATACTGACAATCTGGAAGTCTTTGACGCGAAAAATTGCAGGATAGATTTATAGCTTTGTCGGAATTTTCCAAAAACGTTATTCAGTGTCGAATTCGGGACAAAAACTAAAATAAATTTAAGTTTTTTCCCGAAAATCATTAAGGTTTTGTCAAAAACCGATTACAAAACTAAAAGTTTTTAATCAAAGGCGCAAAAAATCATTATTTTCTGATACTTTCCTGACAATCATGGGGTGTTTTCAGCCAAAAATTACAAAATTACTCTTGTTAGAAAATTCCCGTCATGCACCGCTTTGCAGGGAATTTTAGAAAACCTTTTTCACCTTCGAATTTGGCACCAACACCACCATAAATTTATTGATTTTTTTTACCGAAAGCGTTATAAATTTTTTCCTCGAACCATAATTATTTTTTGCCAAAAATATTTGCCCAAACAGAACAAGCGAAAGTTTATAGTCAATTATTTCGAACACTTGTCACCTTCGTCGCTGTGAATAATTCGATTTTTTTTAATTGCGGTTTCTTCACTTTTAGGGCAATACTTCTAAATGAAACTCTCTGTAAGCACGTTTTACTGTAAAATTCTGGCAAACAGAGTGTTTTATGCAAGAAAACTAGAGATCGATTTAGCAAGAAAACTCGTCGTCTTTATAGTTTGGTCTTCTTTGTCATCTTTTTCGAATACCGGTTTTACCTTTGAATTTCGGACAAAAACGAAGCAAAGTTCTCTTGTTTTTTTACGAAAAAATTAAAGTGTCCAAAAAACGCGCAGAGAAAGCAAAATCACATAACTATTTGGAAAACTCGTCCCCTCAAAGTTTCTTCCAAATTTCCGGTTTTTCCCATTTTAGGCCAAATATTTTCAAGCAATCGTTTCGCCCGAAAAAGAATCTCAATAATCTTGGTCATCGGTAAGCGAGTTATAACTCACTAGGCGATGAGTTTAAACTCATTAACTCAAACAGCGGCAATAACTCAAAAGCGCAACTCAACACAGTGTTACCCAGGCCTAGCCTCTGAAGATGCTGAAACAGCTCGTGCTTACGAAACGTCAATAAAATTGCAGCTATTAACGCGCCTTAAATCGCACTTTCTCTGGATGATTTGATTGAATCAAAATCCGTTCGAGATTCGTTGGCGCCCCAAAGGCAACTTACCCATGAGACAGTTGCGGATATCCTGATTTTGAGCGACCCAGAGCTTCAACTGTCTGAGACATTCGGGCCTGGACTGTTCCGTTTCCCTCAATTCCAGCTCAGCAATACGGGCCAGCTCTTTTTTGAGGAGCGTTTCGCGTTTTCGTCGCACGTCCTCTTCGTAGTGCGCCAAGTCCGGCTCAGTTTGCGCCCATTGCTGTGTCGAAATGATCAATCGAGTGGACATTGCGGTCTGAAACAAAGCGATCATCTTACAGGAGTATACAGGGTAAATTAAAGAATTATTCTGCCCTCCGGATAAATGGCGCCGATTTTCAATCGTCCTGTATACTACAAAGTAGTTGACGATAACCGCTGTTTTAAGTTTAAGTTTTAAGCTAAAGTTTTATAGCTACGTTAATTATCTTGAGCATTTCAGGCTGGATTAGAGCGAGCCATAAATTTTGCGCTCTTTGATCAGTCGAGGCTTTCCCTAATCCACCCTGGGGTTCAATGGGGAAATTAAAAAATTTCCTCCGGTTTCCCCACAAACTTTACATTGTTTGAAAAAACCTTTAGCTGGTTAGGATTCGACGCCCCAACTGTATGGGTTTCGGTTGACTCCATGAGAGCCATCTACCATTCATTCATTGGATCAGTACTTTTGAGCTAAAGCTGACTGTTCATTGGCTACATATTGATTTGAAGTAGACATTATCGACCAATAATCAGTTGTTAAACCGTAACCATGACGACGCAGATTCGAGTAACGTGCGTACAAGGGCAGAGCGGCTCGCAGTGGTTGACAGTGCAAAAATTGGCGGTCAAACAGCGGGACGATAAATGCAAAACAGGCCAAAACGACTTAACTGAAAGTGTATTGAAATTAAGTAAAGTAGGTAGATTGAATAATTTCTCTCGTCAAAAACTAATAAGTAGTTAATCCAGCAACCCATTGGCTGACTTTTAATTATCAAGTAGACAGTTGGCAGGCCATTTTTTCGCATATGCTGATCTTTATCGCTGATTTCGCCATTGTAATTGGCAATAAATAAATTTTAGAGCTTGTTGCAAAATGTGGTGCGCCCTAGTTACTTATATAATGCCGGAAAAGTCGCAGTTCTTGTGATTGAATCAATGAGATCTATTGCTGCAGCGACCGCTTACGTGGCCCAAAGACTGAAGTGGGCTGTGAAAATGGGACAACCGATGACGAAACTGGTATGTTTGAGGAAACGGTCAATTGCGCCATAACACACCATTAACCCAGTGAAAGCTGACCAACGCAATGTCAAGGCTAGTGGTCATTGGACGGGCTCGTAAGCGTGCCCGAAGCAGCGAATGTAGGTGAACGGTGATTTATTTTGCATCATAAGCGGACTCTGTTGCCGGAAGAATCCAGGCGGTTACCAAGAAGAAGATTCGTGAAGATGATGGAACCCTATGAGGAATATATTTGGAAAAGATCACGGCCTAAAGAAGGAGGTCGGCGTACAGGATGAAGAAATCTAAACAGTTACATGATATTATATAACAATTATGAATTGAAGAGAACAATGTGTGCCAGTTCGAAGCAAGGCCACCCATCAGCGATTCGTCTGTGAAAAGAGCAACTATTGCACAAATGGGAATGTGTCCTATGGGGAAAATTGCGATGTGAATAATTGAACTTTTGGCCTGTTCTCCGAATCTTGAACGGTTACCTAATGGGTCGATATTCGTACCATGTCGACACTATTGTTGGTAGGTACGACAAATCGTAGGTACACATGCGGGATATTATGTAAAATCAGTGTGTGTCGATGTGGAAAGCCCATAAGTTGAAAACTATGCGGCAATAGTTCCAATAATTGTTGCTCAATGGAATTTGCTTCAAAGCCGGGATTAGCACTTGTCGAAATTTCCTTACGCTGAAGGAACTAGGGACGAAAAATTACCGAAAAGAGTGAAAAATGAAGTGGATATTTGCCGAAACGAGTCGTTTATGTGCTCGAAACATGTTGGCTTTTTTTTTAATTTATTAATCGCGTTGACATGAATTGTTCGTTGTTAATGACCGTTTTAATGTTAGCGGAAAATTAGTTTTCTTATCCGTTATTTCCCATGATTTCGCTTTGGATTATTGTTTTTTAACAGCAGATTTACAAATGCAAATAATGTGTAGCTATGTAGTAGATAAAAACTTCGCAATTGCAGCACATTTGTATACGGCGAAAAACTGCGTGAAAACTAGATGAAAAAATTCAAATTCTTCAATTTTTTGCAGGTAAAGGGTGGCTCAAGTGAGTGGACGGATGGCAGCGGTTGGTTAGAGGCAAGCGCCGATTAGTAGGGTAAGCAATTGATCCGAATGTACTTACCGCGTTTCTAACGATTGGCGCACAGAAATCAAAGTACCAACAAGCTGCTGGTTCTCGTTGAGGGTTTTGTTCAATAATCGCAAAAGTACCGGAGCGAGTAACATGATGGTTCCATCGTGCGCCTTCCGCATAGAAGCGGGGGGCAGACACAATAGCGCATTTAATCCCCCCTTTGCGTTGCGTTGTTTTACATCAGAACTATTGCCCAAAATTTCCTGATTGATTAATTGCCCTGATCGCAAAGCGCTGCGAGTCTAGGCGGATGGGTTAGGACGTCGATGGTGGTGAATTTGCTATGCGACTCGCTTCGAACGCCCTACACCCAACGACGTTCTGACTTTTAGACAAGGTTTATTCCTGTTAAGACCGTTAATTTTGTGTAAAATGGGTTTTATATTCGGCTTCATTGACGTGCTTTATGTCGCATTGGGAAACATTGGCTTCCTTATATGCGAGCCAACTGCAATTTGCATTTAATAATGGATAATTTCTTGCAGTTGAGACATACAGGTAGAAGCGGGTAGATTAGTTATTGTTCGGGAAGCACAGCTGTAGTGTAGAATTGCACTCTTGCATAACGCCCACTTTATTTACGATTCAGGGTGTTCCAGATTATGTGGAACTTCGTAAAATTTTAAATTTTTTTCTGGCTTCAATCGAGTTTTTGCGGTGAATTTTCCGATCTTTTGAGTGTTTTTTGGTGAGACGCAAAGGAACAACAAAAACGGCCGCTAACGTTAAAGTTTTATTTGCCAAACTTCAAAATTGCAACCAATATTTTACTCGTAACTGGGTTAGAACAACTCATCTAAAAATCGGTACTACAGTTACTGAATATCACAACCTGCATCTAATAATAATCTCACAATTTGGCCCGCCTTTATCGAACTGTAAACCCTGACTGCACATTGATCAGTAAACTTGAGGCTCAGACGACGGCAAATGCACCATGAATCGGCTGAAAAAAGGGGTTTTGAAACTTAATGCCTGTCATCGTGTATCTACACCAGTCTTTGCTCAATATGTACACATAGATGATAAAAAAGTGGCTTGCAGATTGATGTTTTTTTTTTAAATAAAACTAATTGGGCATTAATATTAACGAGGAATATTTGAACGAAATTAGTTTTCACTGGACGTGGATTCCCTCATCTGCCTCCTTTTCATGGCGGCTAGTCGTGCGCTTCTTCGTAAAGGAGTCTTCGCCTCTTTTTTGGTGTTGAGAGAGACTACGTTGCTGTATCTCCATTGGGCAACGATGCCGTCCCACTAAAACGTAAATCTGCGGTTAGACGAGGGGAAAACTTTTAACTAACCGGCATACCGCTGAGGTAACAATTTCGTTTCTAGTCGGATGCCACGCAACGTCTCTCACACAGGACATGTGACCCTTTCTCTGGCTGACGATTTTACCAGTCAAGGCGTCGTAAACTGAAAGAGCCAGGTTAGTGCAAAGGAAGTCGGGATTTTCGTCAATTACTCACCGACGAAACGGCCTAGACTGCAGCCTGTGTAGATGAACCTCTGCCCAGTGCTACTAACCGGCGAAAATCTGGCTCTGATTAAAGTTTTGGACACAACGTGACCCCGATAAGTCATGAGGGATGTGTCGCCGTCCAGCTTATTGTCTTCGTAGACTGGAAAGAAATTCTCTTAAGTTCAGTTTCTTGACCTCCTCCTTCCTCCGGAGGAAGCCGACAAGGGCGGATCCCCCCCATTCAATTCTCTATCCAACGATGCCAAAATGAATTCTCTGGCTCGAATGGTTCTTGAGAAACTTCGAATAAAGCCCATTTAGTTATCTCTGGAATGATGTAAAAACG